TCCTCTATGACTACTCGGTAAATAATGAAAGTAAGGCAGAAATAAATAAGCTCTTTGAAACCAATGAGAACAAAGACACAATGTACCAGAATCTCTGGGACACAGCTAAAGGAGTGTGTAGAGGGAAATTTATGGCACCAAATGCCCACAGAAGAATGTGAGAAAGATCTAAAATCAACACCTTAACATCACAATTAAAAGAACTAGAGAAGCAAAAGCTAACAAATTCAAAAGCAAGCAGAAGACAAGAAATAACTAATATCAGAGCAGAACTGAAGGAGATAGAGATACAAAAAACCCTTCAAAAAATCAATGAATCCAGGAAGTGGTTTTTTGAAAGGATCAACTAAATAGATAGATTGCTAGCTAGACTAATAAAGAAAAAAGAGCAGAATCAAATAGACTCAATAAAAAATTAGATAAAGGGGATATCACCACTGATCCCACAGAAATACAAATTACCATTAGAGAATACTATCAACACCTCTATGCAAATAAACTAGAAAATCTAGAAGAAATGGATAAATTCCTGGACACATACACCCTCCCAAGACTAAACCAGGAAGAAGTAGAATCCCTGAATAGACCAATAACAAGTTCTGAAATTGAGGCAGTAATTAATAGCCTACCACACAAAAACAGCCCAGGACCTGACAGCTTCACACCTGATTTCTACCAAAGGTACAAAGAGGAGCTGGTACCATTCCGTCTGAAACTATTCCGATCAATATAAAAAGAGGGTCTCCTCCCCAACTCATTGTATGAGGCCAGCATCATCCTGATACCAAAACATGGCAGCGACACAACAAAAAAAGGAAATTTCAGGCCAATATCCCTGATGAACATCGAAGCGAAAATCCTCAATAAAATACTGGCAGACCAAATCCAGCAGCACATCAAAAAGCTTATCCACCATGATCAAGTCAGCTTCATCCCTGGGATGCAAGGCTGGTTCAACATATGCAAATCAATAAACGTAATCCATCACATAAACAGAACCAATGGCAAAAACCACATAATTAACTCAATAGATGAAGAAAAGGCCTTCGATAAAATTCAACACCCCTTCATGCTAAAAACACTCAATAAACTAGGTATTGATAAATCATATCTCAAAATAATAAGAGCTATTTATGACAAACCCACAGACAATATCATACTAACTGGGCAAAAGCTGGAAGCATTCCCTTTGAAAACAGGCACAAGACAAGGATGCCCTCTCTCACCACCCCTATTCAACATAGTACTGGAAGTTCTGGCCAGGGCAATCAGGCAAGAGAAAGAAATAAAGGGTAGTCAAATAGGAAGAGAGGAAGTCAAATTATCTCTGTTTGCAGATGACATAATTGTATATTTAGAAAACCCCATCGTCTCAGCCCAAAATCTCCTTAAGCTGATAGGCAACTTCAGCAAAGTCTCAGGATACAAAATCAATGTGCAAAAATCACATGCATTCCTACACATCGATAATAGACAAAGAGAACGCCAAATCTTGAGCAAACGCCAATTCACAATTCCTACAAAGAGAATAAAATACCTAGGAATACAACTTACAAGGGATGTGAAGGATCTCTTTAAGGAGATCTACAAACCACTGCTCAAGGAAATAAGAGATGACACAAACAAATGGGAAAAACATTCCATGTTCATGGATAGAGAGAATCAATATCATGAAAATGACCATACTGCCCAAAGTAATTTATAGATTCAATGCTATCCCCATCAAGCTACCATTGACTTTCTTCACAGAATTAGAAAAAAACTAAATTTCATATGGTGCCAAAAAAAGAGCTCATATAGTCAAGAAAATCCTAAGCAAAAAGAACAAAACTGGAGGCATCAAACTACACTACACTGTCAGTACAACCACATTGACTTCAATCTACACTACAAGGTCACAGTAATCAAAACAGCATGGTACTGGTACCGAAATAGATATATAGGCCAATGGAACAGAACAGAGGCCTCAAAAATAATGTGACACATCTACAACTATCTGATCTTTGACAAACCTGACAAAAGCAAGCAATGGGAAAAGGATTCCCTATTTAATAAATGGCGTTGGGAAAACTGGTTGGCCATATGCAGAAAACTGAAACTGGATCCCTTTCTTACATCTTAAAGTCTAAGTAAGTGAATTATTGTACATTGAGGGCAATTATATTGCATAGTAGAATCAATGAACTTTGGAGACAAGGGTTGAAATCCTAGCTCTCCAATCTCCTAGCTATTTGAACACAGGCAAAATGTTTAACTTCTCTAAGCCTCAGTTTACCTATAAGATGACCAGTGTAATTTCTCCCTTGGAGAGTTAAGAGGAGGATTTTTAAAAGATAAAGTATTGCTCCTCTGCTTAAGACCTCCTATAATACATTACAACCTATAAAATAAGTTTTAAACACCTTCAAAGACTATCTTACTTTCAGAAAGGGGAAAGTGTTCTCCCATTTCAAAATTTCTTCAAATATCCAAGCAGAAACGTCCAGTAAGTAGACAAAATACAGCATTAAAGCCAGAACGGGGAGGAGGAAATATGCAAAGTTTATTGTCATCATGCATCTGGATAAATTTGCTGAAAGACTGATATTTTTGGAATTTGGATATACCAACTTTTTTTCTCTTACCTGACACACTCATCACGAGGTTACCTATGAATCCCTGCTTAACAAATATTTTTGCAGTACTGGCCTAGTACATTTTTTTAAAAGGCCTAGGACAAATAAATTAACCACTTGCCGCTTTCCTCCCTTAGCATATTATAAATTTTCCAATATTGATAAATACAATGATTTCAGTGTGTGTTTTAAATAATCCCTTAAATTATTAACCTTTTAGTTTATATCCTACTCTCAAACAGATTATCTACCATTGTCCTCATACTAAAACACAGTTTAAATTTAACACAATACAAGTGGAATCGGGACACTGGTTAGTTTTAGACTTAAGCTAAACAAAGTATTTCCACACTCTCCCAGACTTTTTCCTTTTTCCAAGTATTGATAGAATTGTTTCCCCTATCACAGAGTAAGCTCCTCTAAAGTCAGGAATCATGGCACCCATTTCCATAGCATTTAGCCTACCATCTTGGAAAATCTATGGCGTGTGTGTCTGTGTGTGTGTGGGTGCGCGTGTGTGTATTCAGTAATATCTTTGTTTTGTTTTGTCTCCTCTACTTCCAAAAATCAAATCATGAAATTAAAACTAATTAGTGGCCTATCCTAACTACCATTTAATGAATGCTTGCTACACATCACTCTGTACTTTTTAAACCATAAAATATTACTTTATCAACCCTAACGTACCACAGACAAAGTTCCTGAGAACCAAAAAAGTCAGTGGGGAAAAAAAGAAATTTCTTAATTTTAGAGACATTAAAATGTGAAGAATAGCAGATGGTAACTCTGAGGTGCCATTAATTAGAAGACACATTCCATTTTCAGAGCTCTTAAAATGTAAGAAAAATATGTGCATCTTACACTTTTAACCTCATTATAGAAACTGGAGGTCAGAGAGTGCTTAAACACTTTGGCAGTAATACTTGTTAACTAGGTTGGCCACATGGAACAACACCTAATAATTAGTAGAAAAGTGGATCAAAAGCCAGCTATTTTAACTATTTCCTCCCTATTAAGTAAAATAAGTATATATCCAATGTGTTGATATGCTCAGATGATTACTTATACAACTGTGTTGCGTACATTTCCCTAACTGTCCTATAAAAGAAGGTAAGTTCAACAGTTCATTGCCCAACCTATGAAAAAAATATATAGTAATTAGTAAAATCTGAAATTCATTTTTAGACATTATAGGTAGATTACTATGTCTGACCGTATTGCTGTAAGTTTTCTTTTTTCAAAATGTCACCACATACTTCAATGTTTGAGAATACAAAGGGATCAATTAAGTCTTTCTGTATAGACAAAATATATGTTACAAATTATACCAAGGTGATTTGCCAATATAAAATTAAATATTTAGAGTGTACATACTTTTCAAATGTTGGCACATTTCTGTCTAATGAGCAAATATATCAACCAACACATTTATAGTTATGAAGTAATACAATTTTATTTAACTCCTTAGATACTCACTTCCACTATTAAATATTTAGGTTTCTGAATTATAAATACTACATTAAATAACACCAAACTTAATTCAAGAATAGGGAATTGTAAGGGTTAGGCATGGTGGCTCATGCCTGTAATGCCAGCACTTTGTGAGGCTGAGGCAGGAGGCAGGAGAATTGCTTAAGGCCAGGAGTTCAAGACCAGCCTAAGCAACAGAGCAAGACTCCATCTCCCCAAAAATAGGGAGTTCTGTATTTTAGCCTTAAATACTTGCCAATAGAACAGAAAAAGGAACATAACAATGTGGTGTTACATTTGGCCTCAACCTAAATTTGTATTAGTAAAGGAGAAAATAAAGAAAGAGCAGACAGAGTGGTAATTAAGCTGGTAATAATTTTAAAATGAAAATTTATGTGAGGTGATAGAAAAATATTTTAAAGGATTGACAGGAGCATTTTAAAAAGTCAAAACTTAGCATCTGCAGACAAAAATCCTCTCCAGCTTTCTTCTCCCTCTCCCCTCCCTCTTCCTTCCCTTCTCTCCACGTGTGGTAAATGTTCAACATTTCCAATTATTTTATCTTAAGAAATAAGTATCAGTCCTGTATAACACAAAATAGAAAGAAAGCAAAAGGTAACAGGTTCTTTTTTCATTAAAAACATTTGTAGAAGTTACTAATAAAATGTCATTTTTTTAAGAGTAAAGATATTTGATAACTAAAGGTAAAAAGACAGTAATTTGTTTTCAACCTAAGATCTGGTTCCAGTATGACTATGAATTAAAATGGATTTGTTCAGGTACATTCAATATTATATATACCAGATATCTCTCTATTTCTTAGACAAAGCATCATAGATTTCATCACATTTTATATTCTAAAAATCGCAAACTGTAAATTAACAACTAATAACTATATGAAAATTATCATCTTACTTCTCCATTTCTTAATGTTGTGATGGCTCCTCTTGCTACACCCATTCTGAATAGTGTTTCTGTGGCCTGTAAATTTAAAAAAAAAAAAAAAAAAAAGCAAAAATATATAATCTATAATCTCTCCTCAATTGTATATCCCACGCCCTAAATGTGAACAACATTCAAAACTATTATATATCCAGCAACTTCTAGGCAACCATCAATAAGTGGTATATGCCTATAGTCCTAGCTACTCAGGCAGGAGGATCGCTTGAGTCCAGGAGTTCAAGGCTACAGTGAGCTATGACTGAGCCACTGCACTCCAGCCTAGATGACAGAGTGAGACCCTGTCTAAGAAAGAAAGAAGGAAGGAAGGAAGGAAGGAAGGAAAGAAGGAAGGAAGGAAGGAAGGAAGGAAGGAAGGAAGGAAGGAAGGAAGGGAGGGAGGGAGGGAGGGAGGGAGGGAGGGAGGGAGGGAGGGAGGGAGAGACAGAAAAAGAAAAGAGAAAAGAAATGCAACTAGAGAACTATCTACAAGGCACACTAAGAGCTAGAAGTTATAAATTATACCCCAGAAATATCATTATCACAATCTTTTAAGAGTTCAAACTTAATTGTTTCAAATGGTTATTTTGATAATCTGGTATTCTTCCAGGACTATAGTTTCAAATTAGTTTGCTCAGACAAGTTTAAACCTTAGTTTAATGAACAAAAATTAAGTTCAAATTTAGCATTTAAGTTCAATTTGGAAGTTATCATTTATTCTGAATTTAGTTTCCATTTGAATTTAGTTCAAATCACTTATCTGCTACTAAGATACAGAGAGGAGATGAAGTAATTTAGTAATGTCATATATTAAGTGACATTACTTAATTAACCCCAAAATAGTTATTGCTCGCTATACACTAACAATGAACAATCAGAAATGGAAATTAAGAAAACAAATTCCATTTACAATAGCATCAAAAAAAATCCTAGGGAAAAATAAAACAAGGAAGTGAAAGACTTGTAATCTGAAAACAACAAAACATTGCTGAAAGAAATTGAAGACGACACAAATAAATAAAAAGACATCCTGTGCTCATGGTTTGGAATACTTATTATTAAGATAACCATACAACCCAAACTGATCTACAGATTCAATGCAATCCCTATTAAAATCCCAACGGCACATTTTGCAGAAATACAAAAACCCATCCTGAAATTCATATAGAACGTTAAGGGACCCCAAATAAACAAAACAATCTTGAAAAAAGAAGAAGAAAGTTGAAGGACTCACTTTCTGATTCAAAACTTACTACAAACCTGCAGTAATCAAAAATATTTGGTACTATCATAAAGATGAACATTTAAGACAATGGAATAGAACAGAGACCCCAAAAATAAATCCTTGCATATATGGTCAAATGATATTTGATCAGGATAATAAGACTATTGAGTGGGCAAAGGACAATCTTTTCAAAAGTACTTAAAAAAACTGGAAATCCATGAAGCTGTCCTCACAGGCTTAACAAGAATTTTGAATAGAAATATAGTTATAATTAAGCATAAATCAGCTGCACTTTGACCCACTTCCTTGTAAGCAAAAGTCTAGAAACAGTACATACTTTCCATTTGAATACCCATTGTTACTATAGATAGAATTTCTGACACTAGGGTTGTAAGACTTTTTTTAAAGATAGATAGGGTCTCCGACATTAGAATCATAAGGCTTTTGCTTATTCAAGATCTGGAATACTTAAGCAGATCCTGAATTCCAGTAGAATAGCTGACACCAACCAACTTAAAGATCCCCAAAGTGGAACCAAATCAGCATGAGAATATAGTTCCTTCATCTCCATGTCCCATGACCTCATCCTGCATTCTTGGACTAACCAACCATCTCCAAACTCCAGCACACTCTAAAAATCTTCAAACCTCTGCCCCAAACTGCACGGGGAGATGGATTTGAGGTTTCCTCTTATCTCCTCGGTCAGTGGCCCTACAATTAAACATCTGTCTCTGCTGCAATCTGGTGTCTTGGTGTACTGACTTGATACACATAGTGGTCAATGGACCTATTACAGTTACACATCCACAAATAAAAGAATGAAGTTAGAGCTTTACCTCTACCATATACAAAAATCAACTCAAAATGGATCAAATACATAAATTTAAGATCTAAAACTATAAAACTCTTAAAAGAAAACATAAGGGAAAAGCTTTATGACATTAGATTTGACAACGATTTCTTGAATATGACAACGAAAGCATAAGCAACAAAACTAAAAATAGGCCGGGCGCAGTGGCTCACGCCTGTAATCCCAGCACTTTGGGAGGCTGAGGCGGGTGGATCACCTGAGTTCAGGAGTTCGAGACCAGCCTGGCCAATGTGGGTGAAACCCCATCTCTACTAAAAATACAAAAAACAGCCAGGCATCGTGGCACACGCTTGTAATCACAGCTACCCGGGAGGCTGAGGCAGAAGAATCGCTTGAACCCGGGAGAAGGAGGTTGCAGTGAGCCAAGATCACACCACTGCACTCTAGCCTGGGCAACAACAGCAAAACTCAGTCTCAAAATAAATAAACAAATAAACAAACAAATAAAAATAGGTAACTGGATTTCACCAAAAATGAAAAACTTTAGTGCATCAAAGGACTCTATCGACAAAATTTAAAAACAACTCATGAAACAGAAAACACCTGCAAATTGCATATCTGATGAGGAGTTATATCCAGAGTATATTCAGAACTCCTACCACCCAACAACAAAAACTAAACAACCCAATTTAAAAATAGGCAAAGGACTTGAACAGAAATTTATGCAAAGAACATATACAAATAGCCAATAAGCACATGAAATGATGCTCCACATCACTAATCATTAGGGAAATGCATATCAAAACCACAATGAGATACCACTTCCCATCCATTAGAATGGCTATTATCAAAAAGACAGAAAATATCAAGTGTTGAGAAGGATGTGGAGAAATTGGAACCCTTGTGCACTGCTGATAGTAATGAAAAATGGCACAGTCGCTGTGGAAAACAGTAAGGCAGTTACTTTAAAAATTACACATAGAATTATCAATGATCCAGTCACGCTGCTTCTGGATATATATCCATAACTACTGAATGTAGGCTCTCAAAGAGATATTTGCATACCCTTTTTCACAGTAGTATTATTTACAACAGCCTAGATGTAGATGCAACCCAAGTGTCCATCAATGAATAAATGAATAAACAAAATATGGTTTATATATACAATGGAATATTATTCACACTTAGAAAATAATGAAATTCTGATATAGGATACAACATGGGTGAACACTGAAGATACTATGCTAACTGAACTAAGCCAGAAGCAAAACAACAAATACGGAATGATTTACTTATATGAAGGATCTAGAGTAGTCAAATTCATTGAGACAGAAAGTAGAACAGGGGTTACTAGAGGCTGAGAGAGGAGTAATGCGGATGTACTACATGATGGACATAGAGTTTCAGTTTGATGACAAAGTTCTAGAGATGGATAGTAGTAGTGGATGCACAACAATGTGAATTTACTTAATGCCAGTGAACTGTACACACAAAAAATGGCTAAAACGTAAATTTAACATTGTATATGTTTTACCACAATTAAAAAAAAAATAGTTATTGCTATTTCCAATGCTTCCCCATCTTACAATTGCTGAGGATTTAGACCCTAATAAAACATTCTTTAGGATTGTACCTAAAGAGTATTTAATGGAAAATCCATTGATAGAGTGTAGAACACTGTAATATACAGAAAGAAAAGGATACTGATTTGTTAGTCTAGAATTTATTGAACAATTATTTCATAAGCACTGTAAAGGGCAAATTGAAGGAATTAGCAACAGAGTCAATTTGACAATGCCCTTATTTTTACAGAGTTTACATCTAGGGGACAGTGGGAGCAAACAAATACAGAAATAAGTAAGTCATACGCATGTGAATATGGAAAATTGAAAAACTTAAGCATAGTAAGTATATGAAGAACAATGAGGTAGAAGGGATATTTTAAATAGAGTAAATCAAGGGTGGCCTCTTTTAGGAGAAGATAATTTGAACATAAACTAAGTGAAACCATAAAGTGAATAGCCAATATGGATATTACAATAATAATGACAGTAATAATTGCTGACCCTAACTCAATACCTACTATTTGCCAAAATCCCCTCTACAAGATTTCAACATATCAACTAATTTGAAAATTGGAGGAAAGAAGGTTCTAGTGAAAAGACCACAAGAGCCTGTAGGTAGGATCATAGTTGGCATGTTTGAGGACAAATAAGATGGCCAGTGGGGCTGAAGGAAAAAGACTGCATGAGATGGTTGAGACTGCATGATGGTTGAGACCAGAAGAGGGTGCATGTTCCTCTGTTCAATATGTGCTTTTATTTTTCTAGCCTAGCATAAAAGGAATGCATTTCTAACCTTTAATAATCAAAAATATGTAAATCAAAGGATGCTCTACTAAACATAAATTTTAAGAATTTATAAGCTAGAAACATCACAGAATTTTAAATTTAAAAACTAAACATACATCTAATAAAATCCAGGGGTACAAGAGGTGGAGAACTGCAGAAGGGGTAAGGAAACTGATATATGTGGGAGATATGTATAAAAAGATGCCTAACAGATATTATGGAACTGGACCTCAGGGTATAGGTAAGAACTATCAATATCATTTTGGTGTCATCAATGTATAAAGAGTTGATTGTAACCAGAAACCCTGATGAGGCAAATCAAGAAAGTTAAAGAGAACAAAAGAACAATAGGAAATAATAACATATAAAATGAGGCAAAAGACAAGGATACAGCAGGGAAGGCTCAAAAGTAACATAAGGGTCGGGTACGGTGGCTCATGCCTATAATCCCAGCACTTTGGGAGGCCGAGGCAGGTGGGTTACCTGAGGTCAGGAGTTTGAGACCAGCCTGACCAACATGGTGAAACCCACCTCTACTAAAAATACAAAAAAATTAGCCAGGCATGGTGGTGCATGCCTGCAATCCCAACTACTTGGGAGGCTGAGGCTGGAGATTCGCTTGAACCCACGAGGTGGAGGCTGCAGTGAGCCAAGA